TTCTTCTGAAAATGAGAGAGTTGGCTAGAATTTCTTATAAGTCTAAAATTTCCGATATGTTTGTTTCCTTAGTCTAGATGCTGTTGGCCACCCATACTACTTTGAAGTCTTCCCTAATGAGATAGTGCCACCTTCCACCTCTTATTAGTTCTGTGGTCTGAAGCATTTACTTTATCTTTGAAAACTATTTTTTGTAAGGTGGAGAAAAATGTCTGGCTTGCAGGGTTTATTGAGAAGGTTAAATGAGAGCATATGGAAACCATTGAGGACTGTATCTGGTACACTTCTGCTAGATGCTTTATAGGTTTGGGCCAACCCTTTATTAGTGAGAATGGAAGTTAATTTTACTTTGTTTCAGTATTGGCTTCCGGGGCTCAGAATTCACTGTTCAAATCTTAGCCTTTATCTACTCACTCTTCCGCTTTTTTCTTCCCTAGAAGTGGGCTTGGGGGTAGAACTGGAAGTTCAGGTCCCCCCCCCACCCCTTTTAAAAGAATTATTTAATTTTATTTGTTATTTTCATTACTAATTGTTTTAAAATTTGCTGTAGGAGACTTGAGCTCACCAGAGAGAGAGGGAAAATGGGAAAGCAAGCCACCAGGTCTGGGACTTGAAACACAGTTGACCATGTGGGGGGGGGGAGGTCCATTGCTTTTATCACCTTACTACCTACCTACTGGTCCTGGAAGTTCAAACCCTTTAATGGAGGGTTTGCTTTCCAGGCCAACTAGCACCCATGGGAGGCTAGTTCAGTCATTCATTAACAGATAAAAGACAGTTATCACTTTGAGCATTTAAGAGTTTATATTTACATTCTATGGGGGCCAGCAGGTGGCATGGTGTTTAAGGGCACTGGACTCCCACATGGCTAACCACGGTTCGAGTCCCGAACCTGGTGGTTTGCTTTCTCACTTTCTCTCCCTCTGTTCCTCTCTGGTCAAATTGTAATAAATAAAGGAAATAAATTAAAAAAAAGTTTATATTTACATTCTATTTTGTAATTATAATGCCTACAGTTTAGTGTTCTGTCTTTAGAGTTACAGACTAATCTCTTTTAACAGTGTCACTATTTCTAAATGCCTTTATCAAGCAGTTTTCTTAAGGGTTTCTGGGTACTATATATGAGTTCTTAGATTGTTGAGCAAGTCTGTTTATTGCTGTTTTCCTTACTCCACCTATTACAGGAATAATACAAATTCTCTGAAGAATATTTTTGAAAAGAATAATTCTAATAATCACATACATGACTTTTTTTTTTGGGGGGGGAGAGGTTTTTGCTATAGGGCATGTGTGCTTGCCAGAAAGACAGAGAAACAGAGACAGAAAGTAAGAAATCACTCCCCAAGGTGGATGGCCATGCCGCAGTCTCTACTCCATACTCCTCTCGGGATCTTGGGCGCACACGCACACAGCGTGAGTTTAAGCCAACGGGTCCGGGACTCAAACCATGGTCAACTACATCAGAGTCCAGCGACATAGCCATTACACCAACTGCTGTTCCTTCATACATGATAATTTTTATACATCCTTCTTAAATCCCCATGTTTGACTTCTGAGGTACTACATTCTGATTTTTTCTTATTTGGTTGGTTCTCTAGACTTGGCTAGTCAGTGTGGGCCAGCAACATTAGCCACATTGTGAAGCTTATTAAATTGTAGATTCTCAGGCCCAGCTTCAGACCTACTAAATCAGAAGCAGCATTTTAACAATGTTCCTAGATTTGTAAACCCAGTGAAGTTTGGGAACTGCAATACAGTCCAGGAACTATAACTGCTGCTCTTTTTTTTTTTTTTAAAGATGTATTTCATTTATTATCATCATTATTATTAGTTTAATTTGATCAGAGAAAGGGAAAGTAGGAAAGCAAGCCTCCAGGTCCAGGACTTGAACTGTGGTCAGCCATGTGGGAGTCCAGCGCCCCAACCACCATGCCACCTGACAACCCCTATAACTGCTTCTTTTAATGAGCCCTTAACTCTAGGTTTTTAGATTTCTACTATTTTAAGGTAGACTGACTACAAAATAGTTTAATTCTTATATTTTTGATGACTCCTCTTAAACATGTCATAGACATCTCATTCCTACTTACCATTTTGTTTATTGATTGGTAGAATTTGATTTGATTATGTATTATTTGTAGCAGGGGTGGAATCCTCAGAATGCAGTGGTTAAGGAAGTAAAGCAACAACTGTATTTTGCTTTTTACACATTGAATTAGGGTTTGCATTTCCTCTTCATGTACTGTGTCACCTTTGTCACCTTGGATTTTTTTTTTTTTTTTGGGTGGGGGTGGGGGGAGGAAAGATTTTTGCTATAGGGCTCACCGGAGAGACAGAGACAAAAAGTGAGAAATCACCCCCGGAGAGGATGGCCATTCCACAATCCCTTCTCTTCCATTATCCTTTTGGAATTTTGGGCATGCACACGCATGTGCCCAGTGCAAGTTTCAAGCCTCCAGTCTGGACTTGAACAGCAGTCCACCATGTGGTAATTTAGCACTGTAACCACTACACCACCTGGTGGCCCCTGGATTTTTGAAAACAGCAGCTTCCTATTGGGTCCTTTTCCTATGTCAGATCATCATTCTTACTATTGGGTTGTTGAAAAAGTCATGACACATTTTTCCATAGAAAATTTGTAAATTTGCTCTGTAAAAATTGTAAATTTTCCAGTGACCCAAAAATCTCTTTTCTATAACTGGTTTTCAGAGTCATTTTAAGGATAAAATGGAGCTTCTGGGAAAATCATATAAGTAAAAAAGAAATTACTCATTGCCTTGCCAACAGTTCTGGAGAATAGAAAATGCTGCTTAATTTGTTGTCCTCCTCACATAAATACATATATCATAATAAAATATATATATTATAATTATAAATAAATAAATAAATCAATATTAAGTTCACTATTAGGCATTTATGCTCCCTGGAGAGAGACAGAAGAGGGGGTGAGTAGTGAGAAAGCCTTGCCCAGGGGAGAATGGCCATGCCACATTCTCTTTCTTTCTCCTCTCAGGATTTTGGGCACATATGCACATATGCCCTGTGTTTTTCAAGCCTCTGGGTCTGAACTTGAACCAACATTTGGACGTATGGTATCCAGCTTCCTTAATCACCATGCTACCGGCACGCCCAAGCTGTTGAATTTTTAAGGAGGCCCATCTTCTTTTTTTTTTTTTTTAATCCATTTTACCAATGTGAGAAGCGAGTAAGTTTTAAAGTATTGGGGCCAGTAGGTGGTGGTGTGGTTTTGTCCCTGGACTCTCACAGAGCTGACCCGAATTAGAGTCCTGGTCCTGGTGGCTTGAAAATCAGGTATGTGTGTGCGTGTATGTGCCCAAGATCCTGGGGAGGAGAATGGAGAAGGGATTGCAGCATGGCCGTCTCCCCTGGGGATGATTTCTCACTTTTCTTCTGACTGTCTTTGTCTTTCTTTCTGACAAGCGCATATACTCTTAGGCAAAAACTGCTTAAAATTTTAAAAATGTATTCATCATTATTAGTTTTTTATTTGACCAGAGAGAGAGAGAGAAAGTGAGAAAGCAGGCTGCCAGGCCTGGGACTCGATTGCGGTCAGCCTGATGGGAGGCCAGCCCCCAAACATCATGCCTAACCTTCGGCCCCTTTGTTTTTATTTTTAAAAGAGATTTTTGCTATAGGGTGCATGTGCTCATGAAGACCCAGAGACAGAGAGAGAAAGAAGTCACCCCCTTAGAGGATAGCCACGCTGCTATCCATTCTTGGGGGATTTGGAGCTTGCATGCACACATACCTGATGTGAGTTTCAAGCCTCTGGTGCAGGACTTGAATCACAGTCCGCCATGTGGGAGTCCAGCACCTCAACCACCATGCCACCTGCTGGCCCCATATTTCGTTTTTAAATTTAGGGTTTTGGGCACACATTAATAGAGTCTCCATGTTTTTCAAGCCTTTGGGTATGGGCTTGAACCAGACATGAACAAATGTTTGTTAATATTTATAAAAGGAAACAAAGGTTGTCACATGGAATGGCTACTAAAGTTGAAGTCTATTTTCTTCCACTCTTCAGTATGTTAATGCAGCAAAGAAATAGTTCAATGCTCTGAAAGTAGTAAGACAACATTAAAGGTTGAGTCTGTAAAATTTTGATTTAGATTGACCTCTACTTAAAACTTTTACCAAACTGGGCCTGAAATATCTAAGCTTTTTTTTTTTTTTTGGAGAGGTTTTCACTATAGGGCGCGTGCGCTTGCCAGACAGACAGAGAGAGATATAGAGACAGAAAGTGAGAAATCACCCTGCAGGGGAAATGGTCACGCCGCAATCCCTTCTCCTCCATTCTCCTCTTGGGATCTTGGGCACACACGCACACGCGCCCGGCGTGAGTTTTAAGCCACTGGGTCTGGGACACGAACCTTGGTTGACTACGTGGGAGTCCAGTGACATAGCCATTACGCTAACTGCTGGTTCCCAATATGTAAGCTTTTGAAGGTGTAGTGTAGTGGAAGGAGTCTTCATGGAAAATGTTTATTCTAAACAATACAAAACAAAAACAAAACTTCGTGTGGATTTACTGTTTTTTTTTTGTACCAAAATAAACTTGCACTTTAATTTCAGATTTCCACAAATCTTTTGACATCCCCTTGCAGTGTAGTCTTGCTGAGTTTAGAATTTTTGCTAGTTTTGGATTTTGGCTTTTTTAAAATGTTTTTTTTTTGAAAATTTCAGCTCTTGTCAAGCTAATGTAAGTAAGTACCTATCAAAGAACTGAGAATTACAGTTTATTGTGTTAAAATTTAAATAGTGCTTGATCTTTGGTAGGTGTGTTTGGGCACTATGAGATGCTTATAGCATCTTTTAAAGCATCTGCAATCTACAATGTGTAGATTCTTTACAATAGTTGATGACCTCAAACAAGCAACTCTTGTCTTAGGGAATATTTAAATAACCTGGAATATGTACTACTGTCTGATCTGTATGAGTTACCTATTTTACTTAATCCAGGCAAAAGCCATTTGAGTTTTACAGCTGATTTAAGTGGTGAAGGCTAGGTTTGAGCCCAAGTGTAATAACTCCAAACATTTCCACTTTTACTGTCCTGACTCAATAGTTAAATTGAAGGGTTTGTCCATAGATTAATGGTTTTTAGACTGTGCCATAAGGCCCTGTACAGTCCTTTGGGGGGTTGGGCAAACAGTGAAGTATCTTTTACTTTAGGATAATCAGTCACCCCATTGTTTATGCACTGTTTTTTAAATCTGTACAAATATTTTTGATTAAATAAAGTCCTCTGTAGAAACCTAAGACCTCTAGAATGAATGGGTATTAGAAAATCAAAATATAGGTAGTAGTAATTTGTATTTGTCTGTGGGACTATTTTCAGTAGTGTTTTTGTTCCTAATGATGTTTTGTGTAGCAAAATGTCAATACGAGGTTGAGGTGGTTTAACACACATATTAAGGAGGCTAGGGAAATGACTGGAGTTAAAATTTGTTGCCAAATGTGAGTAATCTGCAGTTCACTGAATTGGGTTCACTGCTTACTACTAGCCATGATCTCTTTAATGGCTGTCCAAAAATGATGTAATAACAGGTTAAACTTCTGAATGCCCTAGCTGATGCAATGCAAATCTGAGGTCCAGGACTTTACTGGGGCAAGGGTAATGCTTGTTTCAAAACAAAACAAGCTACTCTAAATTTAATGAGGACATTTAAAATGGCTTTCCCAGAGTGAGGAGGTAATATAATCTGAGTTTGGAGGTTGAAGTAGGAGTTTAATGTGGTTTAAGTGTGTTTACTACTCTCGCTGCAAAGTCTTTTTGTAGGGAGAGTGGGAGTTTAAAATATGGTACTGACAAGAAGTGGAGAAGTGAGTTTGAACTGAGGTATTTGATGTGCAGTAAATATCAATAGTTTCTGAATGAGTTAGGGAGAATGCTTTTACTCTGTAAAGACAGCACTCACACGGTTTATCTAGAGTGTATAATGTGTGTGGAGAAGAGCACTTTTTCTGGCCACACATTTTTCATACACTGTTTTCTCATACATTCTCGTACAGCTCTTAGATTGAAACTGTGAGAAATTGCCCGTGTTCGACCATTTTGATCTACAAAAGTGGTATGTTTCGACCTAAATTTAAACTAGTGGAAATGCTGAGGAGGGCACGGTGTCATGGGAGAGTGTGGGGGCCTGGCAGTATCGAGGTCTGGATGGTGCTGTGTCAGAGCTGCTGGGGCCTGCTGGGAGCCCTGGAGCTGCCTTGGGCGGGCTGGGGCGGGGCTTGTGGGTGCGGCCCCGCCCTCCCTGCGCGAAGCAGCCGGGCAGCCGCGCCCTGGGCGGGCCCTGGCGCTTGCTCTGCGTTGGAGCTGGCTTTCTCTGCTGCGGCCCAAGCCCCAACCCTGGGCTCCAAATGGCTCTCCTGGCGGGCGGATCCCTGCAGTAGCTCCAGATCCTGCACAAGAAACTCATCCTTGTCTTCACCGAGGCTTGGCGGGAGCCTAGCCAGTATATCTGGGGAAAACAAACTTGAGAAACAGGGAATGCTTAGGGCACAGCGGAGGACAGCTCAGCCATGGCTCCCATTTTTGGAGACGCAGGCGATTTTGAACTCACTGGGAGGTGTGGTCCCCTCCTGGGGACGGGAAGACTTAACTCTGTAGCCGAAGCTTTCAAGGAGTAAATGGATGTTTGGAGCCTGACCTCAAACACGAATTTTAGTCTTCAGTGCTTATAAACAGAAGGTGTCAAGGAGGGGGTCTTTGCTACAGATTGTTGGGGAAACGCAATGTACTGCCTGATTTCTCATGACGGGAAAGCCTACCCTACCTTTTCTGTACTCTTGGAGAGGAGTCTTGCGCACATGTTTACCAGCGGCTAGGACGAGGAAGAGAAAAGGTATTGACATTAAGAGACTGGGTTGGGGCAGCTGTAAGTCTGTGGAATCTGACTTATGTTGAGGCAGTGGCTACGGCATAATTTCAGCCTTTTCCAAAGTTCGCAGTGATGTTTCCTTTGGGCTGCCGTAGTTTTTTCTGTTTCAGTCAAACCTCAGGTTAAGTCATGACTTCTGTAGAGTTGTTCTTGGTTTCTACGTCAGGGCTGTTATATGCTGAGATTTCTTTTCTGTTTCAGGATGGAACTGGGATTTATCAAAATTATTACAATTATTACTTGTCAATATAATATCATTTAAAACAAATTTTAGGAGATCAACAGCAGAATTTTAAACCAAATATGGGCCCTTGTAAGCACCAGGCCCTATGTGCACACCTGTGAAGTCTGCCAGATTGTTACCAGATCTGTTATAGATTGATAGTATGTGCTACAATTCTCAGAATACAGTTATTTTGTAATTTTCACTCTAAATACAAGTGATTTTGCTTTGTGTAATTTGATGCTATTTATTGTACAAAGCATTATAATGAGTCTTCACATATGGGTAATTTTATCAATAAAAACAATTGCTCTCGAAGATGGAACTGGGTTCTACCTTTGGATCTTTGGCAGCATTTCACTTGCTTTTCACAATTGAATAGGAATTAAAATGTGCTTTCTAGAACGTGTGGAAAACAATAAAGATATATTGTGACATGAGCCTGAACTGTACTATTGATAAACGTATAATCAGTCTGCTATGCTAGGTCACGAAATTGAGGTTTTCTTGCCTCAGCTTTATTATGTTAAATACCAGCTGAGTTTTCTGCCCTTTGATAGTATTAGCTGTTTTGGTTTAGTGATTCCAAAGGCATTGGTGGTGCCCAAGGAACTGCTTTCAAATTATTTTGCTTGCTTAAAGAGCAGTATAAAATGGACCACGAAATAGTATACACTTGTGCAGGCAGTGTTTGGCACTGGAAAGCCCCGTTTTACAGGTGACAAAATCGTAAGCACAAAGAATCTACTCAGGATTGCAGGAGAGAGCTTCTTTATAGTTCTATTGTCTGGGGGCAGAACACCTGGGTTACCCTGGGCTTCAGATTGATGTGCTTCTAAGTCCCACTTGAGCCACATGGAATTCTGTTAACTTTGTTTCTACTTGACTTTTACATAAACTTACTATTTTTATTTCTTGCACCCTTAGTTCCCACTTAAGGCTGTCAATGTTAATGCCCACTTGAGTAATCTAGAGTCCAAATCACATTTATTTAGTCATATTGGTAACTAGCATTATTTCTTGAAAGGTTGGTTTTTTTTGTTTGTTTGTTTTTGTTTTTTTTTTTGGGGGGGGGCAGTAGAATAATGATTTAGAGAAAACATTAAATGTGAAGCTTTACTTTTGTAGAAATATGGCTCAAGTTTTGTAGAAATATGTACATCAGTATACGTTTTTTTCTTTTGGCTATAGGGTGCATGTACTTGCTGGAGAGAGACAGAAAGGGAAAGTAAGAAATTATCTCCCAGAGGGGAAAACTGAGAGATTTATGTCAGCCCCAAGATATAGTGGCCTGGTGAATCCCAGCAAAGGTAGATCCCTGGGAAAAGGTGATGTTTTGTATGTTGGTCATTTCTTTCAGATGACATTTATCTGTTAGTTTTACTACTATGCTGATGAGTATTTCAGACTCCAAGGTACAGGGAATTCCTTATCTGTTGACTCAGTCCCCTACCCAACAATGTTGGGTATCAGGTTATTATTACTTTTTGTAAACTCTCCTCCCTCTTTTATATTTGTTTTATGTTATGGAATATATGTTCTTTTTCTAGATTCCAGACTAAAAACTTACTTGAGGATGGCCCTCTATTTCTCCCACACTCTTCAGGGGTGGGCACTGATTAGTAGGAAACAAGATTAATACTTAGCTGATGATAATATTTTGGGGGAAGACTTAACTGTTATTTTGAAAATTCAGTGCAGTATTTATTGTAAGTGTATTTTCCTAGTAATATTTTCTTTTTCCTAGCTTTATTATGAGAATCACTGTATAGTACATGTACAAAATCAGTGTTGATAAATTTTCTGGGACAACAGGGTCTTAGTTAAGTTGGGGGGGGGCGAGAGCTATACATATTTTTTTGTTCTTTTTTAAGAGAGGGTTTTGCTATAGGGCATGTGCACTCGCTGGAGAGACAGAGAAATAGAGACAGCGAGAAATTACCCCCTGGAGGGATGGTCACACAACAATCCCTTCTTGGGATATGGGGCATCCACACACACATGCCTGGTATAAGTTTTAAGCTGCTGAGTCTGGGACTCAAACTGCAGTGGACTATGGGAATCCAGTGATGTAACCATTACATCATCTGCTGGTCTCTATATGTAGTAGATTTTTTATTGAGAGATGGGTTGGTGCCTTTTAGTGTGTGTGTCCTGCATTGTTCAAGTCAGCTGTATAGAGGATTTAACTGTAATTCTCTGGAGCTATCCACAGTTAGTTGACTCAGAATCAGAAACACAGGAGTAAGGGAATCCTAAAAGGGAAAAGAAAACTATGTGATTGAACTTAATCAACGTATAGTGTCCCTTAGTTGTATATCGTTCAGTTTCTATACAGTTCATTCAAAAGTGATTTTTAGCATTTTTTTTAAAAAAGAAATTCTAAATGTGTTCCAGAACATTTTGAAAGAGGGCTGATCATTGTGCAACTTCTAATCAAGATGTATATCTAGTATAATTTATTTCATTTTTGTGTAATTTGTTTTTAGCCCTATTTCCCTTTATCCTTTTGCTCAGTAAGTTTTGCATGAAACTTAAAAAGTATTTCTGTCATGTAAATATTATTTATAAAGTTTTATAGTTGTAATTATTTTTCTCTTGAATTTTTAGAAGTATTTATATATTTATTTTTTTATTCCAGAAATGAGCCGTCAGACTGCTACAGCATTACCTACTGGTACCTCAAAGTGTCCACCATCCCAGAGGGTGCCTGCCCTGACTGGCACAACTGCATCCAACAATGACTTGGCGAGTCTTTTTGAGTGTCCGGTCTGCTTTGACTATGTGTTACCACCCATTCTTCAGTGTCAGAGTGGCCATCTTGTTTGTAGCAACTGTCGCCCAAAGCTCACGTGTTGTCCAACTTGCCGGGGCCCATTGGGATCCATTCGCAACTTGGCTATGGAGAAAGTGGCCAATTCAGTACTTTTCCCTTGTAAATATGCCTCTTCTGGATGTGAAATAACTCTGCCACACACAGAGAAAGCAGACCATGAAGAGCTCTGTGAGTTTAGGCCTTATTCCTGTCCGTGTCCTGGTGCTTCCTGTAAATGGCAAGGCTCTTTGGATGCTGTAATGCCCCATCTCATGCATCAGCATAAGTCCATTACAACCCTACAGGGAGAGGATATAGTTTTCCTTGCTACAGACATTAATCTTCCTGGTGCTGTTGACTGGGTGATGATGCAGTCCTGTTTTGGCTTTCACTTCATGTTAGTCTTGGAGAAACAGGAAAAATATGATGGTCACCAGCAGTTCTTTGCAATTGTACAGCTGATAGGAACACGCAAGCAAGCTGAAAATTTTGCTTATCGACTTGAGCTAAATGGTCATAGGCGGCGATTGACTTGGGAAGCGACTCCTCGATCTATTCATGAGGGAATTGCAACAGCCATTATGAATAGTGACTGCCTAGTCTTTGACACCAGCATTGCACAGCTTTTTGCAGAAAATGGCAATTTAGGCATCAATGTAACTATTTCCATGTGTTGAAATGGCAATCAAACATTTTCTGGCCAGTGTTTAAAACTGTTGCATTCAATTTCACAGAAAATAAGGCACCCATCTGCCTGCCACCCTGAAACTTTTGGTAGGTGGAAGCTAGACACATGAAGGTAAATAAAGAGAAAGGCTGTTAAATACAGGAAACAGTTGCATGTAGTAACACTAATATATTTAAAAATAAGTCAACAGTAAACCACTGAAAAAAAAAAATATATATATATACACCCAAGATGGGCATCTTTTGTATTAAGAAAGAAAAGCATTGTAAAATAATTCTGAATTTTGTGTTTGTTGTAGATTGATTGTATTGTTGGAAAATGTCATTTCGTTTCGTTTCGTTTTGTTTTGGCGTGCGTGTGTGCGCGCGTGCGTGCGTTTGAGTTTTTTCCTTTAACTGACAAGCCATCTTGAGTGGTCTTGGACCACTGCTTTTCCCCTCTGTGAGTCAATACGTAGTGCTGCTGTGTGGGGTTTTTTTGGGTGTGTGTATTTGCTAATTTTTATTAATTCTAGTTTTTCATTAAATAAATTTGACTTTCTTTTCTGTAATTCAGGTTTTTTTCTTTTTTTGTACCTTTAAAAAGTTAGTGTCTTTTTGATAATGCCTAATCGTTTATGTTAAAGTTTGTGTGTTCAATACGTACTTTCTTTCCCATTAATCAGTTCCTTAGAAATATTTTAAATTCAGCGATTTTGTGAAGATATGAGTTCCAGAAGGCAAAGGTAACATCAGAAAAATGATCAGAAGCTACTTAAAAGCACCTTTGAGATGGTCTCTCTTGTTTGTTTATTTCTTTCTTTTACTCTGTTTCTCTTTGAGTCATACCACCAAACTTACTCTCTGAAAGGTTAGGGAATACTGGTTTTTATAAACACTGAAAAAAAAAATCAGGCTTTTTCCCTTTTTCAAAATTCTTGAACAAATCACATGTCTAAAATTTGTTCTTGTATTTATTGGTTTTATGAAAGAAGGCATCGTCATACACAATATTTGTAATTAAAGGTAAATCATTTGTTTAAAAAAAGGCAGTTTGCAAAAAATATGTTTTTGGTCTTTTATAATTCTCATTAAAAGAATATCTGGCAAATTTAAAATCTTAATGTGTCTGCTTTAGCTTTTATGTTTGATAAGATACCAGGTCTGTGAAAAATTGTTACTGTATAGAAGAGAGCAGTGTCCTGTCATTCTGAAGTGTCGTTTTACCCCAAAACTCAGAAGACTGGGGTGTGGCTTCTGGACTACACAATGTTGTTTTTCTCACTGTTGCCTACATTTAAATTCTCATGACTCTGGCAGAATGACTGATGTGCTGACCCACCTCTCTCCCTTAAAGAAAAAGTGAACTAATTTTGTATGTATTACATGTAATTAATTGAATACTAATAATTTTGTATTTCATATCCTAGTGGTTAGGAGCCAGACCTTCACACGAAGGTACCAGTATTGGCCCTACCTGACTTACCTGTTTGACCTCAAGCTGGTTTCCTAACTTGTAAAATTAGGAAACCAGGTGCTTCAGTAGGTTAAGAGGTTACAGATAAGTTATCTAGAACAGTGATTTGCATATAATAAGGGCCAAATGTTGGCTATTAACTGTTAATGCCTTTAGTACCATACAGTTAGCTGGTACTGATTACCTTGAGGCATGTGATTTTGAAAGTGCTTTCTCCATGGCCCAAGATAATTTTATTTTCTGTGGTTTTTATGGGTACCTTAAGGGTAGAAAAGTAAGTAGGAATTAATTTGGACTTTCCCCTTACTCTACCACCAGCTGTGGATAATAGAGTTTACTTTTTAAAAGTTTATTTTCAGGTAAGAAAATTGTATAATCTCTTCCTCACACATGTGCTATTTTTTTCTGAACTGGTTTTCACATGTGCTTATATAGCCATTTTTGAGGTGAAAGCGAACATGTTCAACCACCAGTTTCTATCCATGTCTATATTTGTTAGCAGGTGCGTTTAGAAAAGCCTTTATTTATCATTAGGTGTATATGTTGACGTGGTTTTAGTATACTTTTGAATGTTTCCTGATTTTAAAACCTAGTACTCATCGAGACCAGTAGATGGTATCATGGTGACGTCACTGGACTCCCATGTAGCTGAACGTGGTTTGAGTCCTGAACCTGGTGTCTGGAAGCTCATGCTGGGCATCTGTGCATGCGTGCATGCGTGCCGAGAATCCCAAGAGGAGAATGGATTGTGGCCATCTCTCCGGGGGGTAGGGGGGTGATTTTTTGCTTTCTCTTTCTCTGGTGAGCACACATGCAGTATAGCAAAAATCTCTCTATAAGGAAAAAAAAAAACCACAGCTCCCATTTCATAGATTTTTGGAAATCACAGAAGCATACACAATAGACCTGTAACTTTTTTTTATTATAAGAATTATTGTTTGTTTGGGACCAGCAGGTGGCATGGTGGTTATGGCACTGGATTCCCACATGGCCAATTGTGATTCGAGTCTGGGATCGGGTGGCTTGCTTTCTAACTGTGCCCCTACACATACCCCCCATCTCTGGTGAGCATACATCATGCCCTATGGCAAACTTAATTTAAAAGAAAAATAAAACTAATAATTAACTTTGAAAATTGGTTTATTGGTTCATAAAAGCCATGACATATTTTTCTGTGTAAAAATGCATCATGCTTTTTCTGATGACCCAGTGTTTTATTATTGTTACTGTTTTTTAAATTTGACCAGAGCGAGGATGAAAGAAGGAAAGTGAGAAAGCAAGCTGCCAGGTCTGGGACTCAGCTGTGGTCAGGCATATGGGAGTACTGTGCCTGAACCACCATACCACCTGCCGGCCCCTAGAGCTGTAATCTTATCATCCATTTAGAGATATCCTTTATGGTATGCTTTTAAACATTTCGAAAACTATTAGGATCATGTTATTATGTAACCCTCTTACCACACAGTGATCATCTGAGCATTTACACCATTGTTGTATGTTTTGATTATATTCTTAACATTTCTTTTTTAGCGTCTTGATGCTTTTATCATTGCTTTCTGGAGGGATTCCAGTGGATACTTAGAAATGTGAAGAATTTCTCATTTTGCTGTAACTTTGTATTTTATTACTTTAAGCAAATAAAGCCAGCAAATTTTGTGTATGTTTGACAGCTAATAATATGACTTTTTAACGTTTTTGTTATAGGGAGTGTGCACTCACTGGGGAGAGAAATAAATCACCCCTGGGGGGATGGTCATGGCACAATCCCTTCTCCAGTCTCTTCATGGGATTTTGTGCATGTATATACACGTGTCTGGAGTGATTCTCTAGCCTCCAGGTCCAGGTCTCAAACCATGAAGTTGGCCATGTGGGATCCAGCCGCCTGTCTATGCCACCTGCTGGCCCAAGGTTGTTGACATTATAATATTTAGCTATTTGTATTTCTTTTAAATCTTCATATTCTTGGCCTCTCTTCATTCTTTTACATTCCATTTATTTATCCCATGAGAGGAGACAGGCACTCCTAAAAGGTTCTTTATACTGTGATTCACATTCAATATTAATCAGTCAGGAACATGGGCACATTAGTGTATGCCCAGGGAGACCTCAGGATACGTGCCTGGGACCTTCTCATATGGCCTCAGTATTGCGGAGCATTAATTTGCTGTGTGACTGGTCTTTTTTTTTTTTTTTTTTTAAGTTTTTTTTGATGTAGCACACGTACTTGCGAGAGAGACTGGTGGAGAGGGAAAGTGAGAAATCCTCCCCCCCCACACACACAATCTTTCCGACACACACACCCAAGGGAATGGCCACCCTGTAGTCACTTCTCTATTCTCTTTGAGATTTTGGGCACATGCATGCATGTGCCTAGTGTGATTTTTCAAGCCCCTGGGTTTAGGATTTAAACCAGGGTAGACCATGTGGGAGTCCAGAGCCTTAACCATCCCTCTACCTGCTGGCGCCATATTTTGTACTCTTAAGGTTTTTAACCTTAGGGCACATGTGCTCACCAGAGAGAGACAGAGACAGTGAGAAATCACCCCCCAGTGGGGATATTCATGCTGCGATCCTTTCTCCGGGGATCTTAGGCATGTACACATGTGTGCACACACAAACATGCCACCCTTTGTGATATTGGTCTGGGACTCAAACCACTGTCAGCCATGTGGGAGTCCAGTCACATAACTGCTACGCCATCTGCTGTTCCTACATGTTGTACTCTTTAACTTGAATTTATCCTGTTAAAAAGAAACTGCTGTAGGGCCGGCAGGTGGCATGGTGATGGTGGTTAAAGGCACTGGGTTCCTACATGTCTGACCGTGCTCTAAATCCTGGACCTCGTGGCTTGCTTTCTCACTCTCTTTCCCCCAGCCCCCCAGTCAAATTTAAATAAATAAATATATTAAGTTAAATAAAATAATAAAAAGCCTGCCTTAAACTAAACATACCTGGAGGCCAGTCTATGATCGATGCATTAGAATGGACAAGAGTAGGATCAAGACATAGAAGAGTGAATACAGCTGTTTTAAAATGATATCAATTGCTGGGTCAGCTGGTGGCATGTTGGTTGAAGAGACTAATCCCGCATGTTTGTGTGATTCCAATCTGGGACCTGGCCGCTTGAGAAACACGCTGAGAAACACATCTGCGTGCGTGCTCGAAATCGGAGGAGAGTGAAGAAGGGACTGGTGTGGGCCATACTCCCTGGGGTGTGATTTTTCAGTTTCCCTCTGTCTCTGGTGAGTGTGTGTGCACTATGGCATAAAACAAACATCTTTTTCAAAATAGCTGCTACGATATTTTAAAGTAGAGCTTTTATCACAAAATTGTCCAAGGGCTGGCCCTGATATAATTGCCACTTGCTGGTTTGGCCATTGTGACTATTCAGATCCTTTTAATATTTCCTTCCTGTTTTGCTCCCCCCCCCCTTTTTTTCCCTCTTTTTTTAAAATACAGAGGATGCACAGTGTTAATAAAATCAGAAGTGTTGGGCCATAAATAATCATACTGGATAATAAATGTAGTCTTGATTTCTTTTTTTAAACTGCTGGATACAAATTTTCATAGGGATAAGGGTTCAAGTATAGCTTTTCATTTTGGCTAAAAAATAATGTGAATTTTAACTTGTTTCTTCATTTAAGAACAAAAGAGCTGGCCCAGGGCCTAGTGGTTAAGAGAGCCAAATCCCACATGGGCAATAGTTCAGTTCAAATCCTTGTTCCAATAGCTTGAAAAGCTTGGCAAGGCATGTATGTGTGCATGTTCAAAGTCTGGACAGGATGGAGAAACAAGGGATTGTGACATGACCATGCCCCATTGAGGGTGCTTTCTCCCTCAGTCTCTAGCAAGCACATGCATCCTTTGATGAAAAACAAATTGTAAAAACAAGGGGCTGGCAGGTGGTAAGCTGCTTAAAGGCGCTGGACTCCCACATGGCCAACCATGGTTCAAGTCCTGAACCTGGCGGTTTACTATCCCTTTCCCTCTTCTCTCTCTGGTCAAAATGAAAATAGTAATGATAAAAAAGTTAAATAACAAAAAGATAAAACTAAAAACAAAACACTACTTGGGTCAGCTAGATAATACAGCAGTTAACTTTCTGCTGTAATGAAGCTAGAACCATATGGAGGGCTGTGAGTTTGTTCCCTGGCTTGGAGTTGGGGGTGGGATTGTGGCATGGGACCCAACTGAGGGTGCTTGTCTCTCCCCATGCCCCATGCCCTTTCTCATGAAAGGAAAAAAAAAAAATCCTACTTGATGCTTACATCTAATAATCCCAGTTAAACTCTGGATTCAGAAAGGGAATTGGCAAAATTAACATTGTGGCTATCAGTCCCTTAATGATAGTTTTTACCTTATTTCAGTAGTTCATAAAGGAAAATCCTCTCAGCCCCTTTATCTTCCATAATTTATTACCTGACAACATGGTTGCTTTTGGTGTACCCCCCCACCCCGCTTATTTTAACAAAAATTTCCAGTATGCTTTAATATTTTTCAGTCAGGACACCTTAGTAGTCACAGATTTATCAACAGTGTTAAACATTTTACGAACAGTCACTTAAAATGGTAGCATGTTTCACTGTATGCAATTTTCAAGTGACCTAAAGATCCCTGTCTGATACAGTTCATGGCAATGCA